AAAAGACCTAATGGTATTTCTTTGGTTTGCTGACCCAAGTTGTGCTGATGAGCCTTGAATAGCACAAACTGCAGTCCACAGCAAAGGGTATGGGCAGTCAAGGAATACATTAGGCCTGTACATCCCAGATTCTTTTTGAATTTCACCTCTGGTGAAAATAAAATAGATCTTTAACATATAAAACATAATTTAATTTTTAAAAACGAATTTTTATATAATCAAGAATATTCTTTTATTAATTGATTATATTTTTCAGGAAATTTTACAAAAAGTTTTTATTTTACAGTGATGATGAAGAGCCATTTTCCATATCAACAGATCAGGATAATTTCTCTTTTAGTAAGGCACCAAAAAAGTTAGCCTATTCTTATGAAAAGTCTGCTGTTGAAACAACCACCGAACTTTGAAATCCTTCAAAAATATTTTTTTATATATATATATATTATATAAAAAAATATTTTAAGAAAAATGTGAGAATTCTACAGTGACAAAATTTTGAGTATTGTGAAAAAAGTATGTTCTTGAATTAACAAATTATTAAAAGTGTCTGTGAAATATTCTACTCTGAAAAGCACATTCTGAGTACAGTGCAGAGTTTATTAAACTTAAGAAAAGTATGATTTGGAACAGTTTCCAAGTTAGTTATCAGGAATCCACTATAGGATTAAATGTTGTTACAAAAATCTTAGTAAATTTAAGAGTTCAGAAGGATGTGCCATAATGACAGCTGCCTTTAATATAAACATTGGCAACTTCACACACTGGTTCTACTATATTTTGATAAACTATCCATAAAAGATCATTGATATTTATGAATGCTCATTACCTTATTAGTTATCTGATCATTAACCTTTAAACAATTAACTAGGTAGTTATATATTTTTAAAGGTTTTTGTAAATTTATATTAAGATTCTCAAACTGAGTCTAATTTTTAACTAAATCTCGTGTCTTCCATTATGTGGCAAATGTAAGCTCAACAGTTGTATTCATTATTTTTAATTTTTTTAAAGAAGTAAATAAAATAGTTTTTAATCAGAAAAGAGGTAGGTGATACATATTTTTGAATTATTGAAATATAAAGTGAAGAGCTACTTTATAACTCTTGAACTTCAGTATTATTTTCATTGCATTAAAAAAACTTTGAGCTAATAAGAATGATTTGAGATTGATAATGAAAAATTAATTAAGAAAGTCTGTGTCACATAATATATTTTTAAGGTGTATAGCAACTCAAGATTTATGAAGAATTTCTCTGTTTTTTCACTTTTATATTTAGTAATTACTTGAAAAAAATATGTTAACTGTCAAAAACTATTAACAATCTTAGTGTAATATTTTCTCACTTTTAAACTTACAGTTTGTATTTGTGTAAAGCTACACAATAGGCTATCTGCACTCCACCACAGGGAATCAAACCCAAAATTTACTATTGACCCACCGAGTGACTAACTTTGTTATTTTCTGTACTTATATAAACCTGTAAACTGTTTATTACATTAAGTTCAATATGTGGTGTTTGATATAACATAATAAATTAAAATGAAATAAATTGCTTCAAATGGCATCTAGGAAACTAAAAATAATATCTAAAGGTAACTTTGCAATAAATGTTTGAAAATATTAAGAAAAAATGTTTAAAAACCTGTAAACTGTTTATTACATTAAGTTCAATATGTGGTGTTTGATATAACATAATAAATTAAAATGAAATAAATTGCTTCAAATGGCATCTAGGAAACTAAAAATAATATCTAAAGGTAACTTTGCAATAAATGTTTGAAAATATTAAGAAAAAATGTTTAAAATAATATGTTTTTACATTCACCAACAATGGATAGTTCAGAACTTGTTTAAAAGTTTAAACTGTACTCTGCCATATGTGGAGGATCAGATAGAACTTGCGACAAAAAAGTTTTGAGGCAATAAATTTTTCTTAAGAGGTATAAATAAAGAGTGATGTGTATTCATAGTAAAGGGTTTTCTGTTGCTTATAAAATGTGTTCTAAAATAATGAGATGTTATTGTTCAGGTTTTTAAGTAAATTGATGAATTACTGGTATTATTTCATAATCATATCAGATAATTTCTTTTAGTGGAAACTATAGAGTTATTTTAAAAAAAAGAGAGAGACTGTTAGCACTACTTATCAAGGTTAGCCATTCTGACCATCCTTCCAGCTGTCCCTATTTAATTCCTTATGATGATTGGAACTTTAGTCAGGCCTCTGGCCTTGCTTTATAATTCATCTGTTATCATCTCGTTTCTGATTATTCTAGGAATGGTTTGAATTAATGAAATGGGGATATTTTTATGTAAAGATGTAGGAATTAACTAAAGAGTTAGCTGGCACCAGATAAAGTTTCAAAGTAATGAGACAAAAATTCCGTGAATCATTAGAAATATTGACAACACAAATATATCATATGTAACAATCATCATCTGAGTTCCACAAAATATAATGTCTTATCAGGGTAAATTAGCCGATGATAACATCATCATAATTTTCATCCTATATAAATAATTTGGCAGCACTGCTCACAATTGTCAAATCAACCATCATAGAAACATCACTTGTTTGTGTTGTAAAATTATTGTTTAATAATGCTTGAATAGGCCTGGTTGTTAGGACTGTGGGCTCAAAACTTGGCACTAAACATCTTTACCCTTTCAGCTGTGGAGGGCTTTATAATATGAAATTCAATCCCGCTATTTTGTTAGCAAAGAATAACCCAAGAGTTTGCTATGGGTGGCATTCACTAGCTGACTTCCCTTTAGTCTATCACTTCATAATTATGGGCAGCTGCTACAAATAGTCCTCAAGTACTTTTGTACAAAAATTCAACAAAAAAACAATGTTTGAATATATTATGTAAAAAAAACACCATGATTCTTTAGATATGAATTAAGTGTGTGAAGATGTCACAGCCGTACAAATATCTCAAGAATGCCAGAGTACAGGCACCTACGAATAGTCACAGTGTTTGAAAAAACCATTCAAAAATCTATTACTCGTACACTAATTTTATATTTCATTAAAGCTTTAAGGGTAAGCATTTATTAGATGTAAAATAAAATTCAAACCAGGATATACATAATTTGCTGGAGGTTCCATCATATTATATCAAATAACATTAACAAGTAATGTATGTACTTTGTCTAACATTGAAACTCACTAGAAGGTAAGTTAATGTTTTATTCTACTCATAAGATTTCAAATTTAATATATTATAAATAAGTGATGCTTGAAAATTAAAAGCCTTTCAGATTACTGGAATGTTAACATTTTTCACTCAGTGTAAACAATTGAACAGAAAAAACAAGTAAAATAATCATTTATATGTAAAATACGGGATACATGACGTTAATTTTGGTTCAATTTCCAAGTTTATATGTGAATCCTGTTTTATTAGGAACCTGTAATCAACAAAGTCATAAACGTACAAGCAATTTTAACTGCTGGTAACTTAACAAAGTTCAGAAGGTCATTGTCAGCGTGCCAGCTAATCACCAGGACAGTAACTCTGCTCTTCTACATTGAAAATTATGCATAGGAAAAACGTAATGTTACAATGGCTTTTGCACTTTTATTTATGACTATCTGATTCATATTTTTTTATTAAGAAAGAACAGACTCCTTTACATTGCAAATTTGTAAGTTAATTATACTTGTTTGTATAGGCTATATGAGCTTCACACTTACACACACACAAGCTAAGGTAGTTTTTTCATTCAAAACATTCGGAGAATGTTCACCACAGAGTTTGTTACCTGAGTGATCAGAGAGGATGTACAGCATCCTTTCAGATGTCTTGAAAATTATAGTGACCAATCGCAGTCCTACAGACTAGAAATTATCTAAGCATTATAACTAAAAATATTAGCTGTCTTAACTGTAGGTATAGCAAGTATCACGCATTATGCTCTGCAGAAATACCACTACTCAGTTAGCTAATGTAAGTGATTCTCGCGTAATTTTATTTAAATATTTCAACATTGAAAATATAAAAATGAATGAAAGTAATTGTCATAATGACAATAACCGTTTGCCAGGTCGTCACTTTCTCATCTCCATAGAGAATACCATCTTCAAGCTTCAACTGGTCCCATTTTGCCCAATAGTTCTTTTCACAGGGCTTAAG